AAGATGAGCCTATTCTTGGGCACATTCTTGTCAGTGTTTTTAACTGTTTCCTTAAATAAAGTACTGGAAATTATTGCACTTAGAAGTGCCTACTTGCCTTCTCCTTCTGTAATTCTATTTTGCAAGATATCCCCTTTTGTGATGGCACAAACTGGATTGCAAAACATATTTATTATCTGAAGAAATATGTTTCTTCCTTCACACTTTTGGCCTTTTGTAGTTTAGTTTGTTTCTGCATTCTAGCTTTCCAGATTCTACAATCTGCTTTTAAATTACCTTGTTTCTTGCACACTAAATATTCACGTTCCTTGTTGCATTTTACTGCTTTTATTTCTATTTTTCATCTTTAAAGCAGACTCTGTGTCAGAAGCACCGTCACTATTATTGCTTTCTATTTTACGCTTATATTCATCCATAGGCTTGCCTTTAACATATTCCAATGTCATTTCATCATCTGAACGTGCATCAAGTCCTATGACAAGCATTTCCTCTCAGGCATTCAACCATTTCCACAGTGTGCTTTATGTAATCCTGCATAACCTGGCCTTTCATCAGCTTGGTTTGGTATAGCTTTCTGATCAAATACAGTTTATTGCTAAGATTAGCTCTTTCATGCACCTTTTTTAATTCTTCCCACATTTCTTTAACAGTTCACACTTACATATATGTATGATTTGACCATATTCTATGCTAAGAGAGAGATTTTGCTCTGAGCTTTCTGATCTTTCTCTATCTACTCATCTGAAAGGTGTTCTGGCCTGACTTCACATATACATTTCCACATACCTTCTCTTATTTGCAGCTTTTCCATCTTGAATTTCCAAGACTGGAAGTTCTGCTTTGGCAGATTTGCAAATGGAAGGTTTGTTGCAGCTGTGTTATTGGCCATTTTATTTTAATTCTATTGCAGTCTTCTTTTTGTTGCTGTAACTATTTGCTGTAGCAGACTATGACTGGGTGTCTGGGCCCATAACATGTTAGAGATTCTGTGTATAGTCCTACAGAACAGACAGTGCACAGTCCACTTATGTCTATCTGCTACTTTTGTGCAAACAGGAAACAGGAACTTTATAATTATAGGAGAAAAGACATATAATTTAATCATAGTTGCAGCTAAAATTGTATAAAAACTGTCATGTACTGGTTGAAGAATATATCTCTACTGAATACTGATACGGATACTGATGTAAAGTAGTTGTTGCATAAAAAACATGACCATCTCAACAAATGCGCTATTCTATTACAGACAAAACAAATATTTATCATCGGTAGATTATTAGAGGAGTACTGCCTGATTTTTACAGTCTGGGCAGAGCAGAATTACACAGAGCAGAATTTGTGAGACCTGTGTTGGCCCTATTCTAAGTGTCATGTACCTGATAGAAATCTGAATTGACGAAGTCAGCTTCTCTTGTATCTCCAACCCAGGCCCCACTGAAGGTGAAACATATGGTGTTGAGGGACAGGAGAAACACGAGTGCCTGAGGATGTTGATTGCAGAACTTGCGGCTGGAGGTGTAACCTCGGTAAATCAAGCAGGCATCCAGTCAGGAACAGAGGAGGTGCCAGAACAGCCAGCTGAGGTTAAGGAAGCACTCCACTGGAACTGCAAGATCTGGGTATGTGACTTGTTGGAACATCTGATAAGTGTGAGGCCAGAACACACCATGACAACTGGAACTGATATAATAGATAGCCAGGACAAGCACTCGGCTGGACTGTAGAGCCAAACTGGAGCCGGACGCGTATTCAGAGTAATAGCCAGGGTCAGCAACGAGCAGGCAATAAGGTACCGGAACATCAGACAGGGATTAGGTCCTGGAACATCAGACAGGGATGAGGTCAGGAGGAAGCCAGGATCACAAACCGATGAGCAGAAGCATAAACAGAATCCAAGAGCAGGTCAATGGCAAGCCGGGTCAGTAAACGGATACACACAGGATACAGCAGCACACAGGGAATTAGCTGAAGACCAGTCAGCGCTGACAGAGAGTAAGAGCCTCTTTTAAATAGTCCATCTGGCGCCAGAAACTGTAGGCACACTCCCGCGTATGTGCACCCCCGTGCCTGCATTCTTTTGCGCATGCTCATTCTTATTAGCAATGCGCCCGTGCTCATTTCTATGTGCGATGTTGTGCGCATGCGCATTTCTATGTGCCAGTCGCTGTACAGGAATTCCCTTACAGTAAGTATCATGCCAGATTCACAAATCTGCAGTGTGTTTCCCCATGTACATTAACGTGTGTTATGTCTTACATTCACATGTGTGGTGATAAGACATCAAAATATGTAAAGAAAACAAAACCTCAGCGCCCAGGACTCTCCTATTTAACACACAAATCCCCGTGAGATGCTGCTGTGCACAGGTACAAAGACCAAAAAACTTTTAACAATAAAAACCAGCGCAAACCCACATATTCACTTGCATTACTCAACTTGAAAAATCATTTTTTTGCTAATAAAGATATATATAATAAATTATATATAAATAAATTAATATAAAAATAAAAACATTAAATTAAATTCATAAGTCCAGTGACAAAAAAAATCAAGTGATAAAAAATCGAAAAAGTCCCAAAAAAATATATATATATTTAACAGTCCCGTGACAAAAATAAATCAATTTATAATTATCATTGGATTCTTCCGTGTTACTGATCCCTTCACCATCCACCAGTGCAGAAATCAACATTAACCGCACTCACCAGATATTAGTAAATCACACGCCTTTCAGGAATATTAAGGGCTCTTGGACCCCCTTTACTTTTGTGAGACCTCAAAATGCTGTTTCCTCTTATATTTGGGTACCTCTTCTGCTTACTCCTCTCACCGAATCCCCCAAAGAAAATCAGGAAAAAGAAAAGACCATAGCGTGATACCGTAGTAATCTCTCCTCCAAATAATCTCTCCAGACCACTCACATTCTTTTGCGGGATATAGCCCGCCTTTTATTCAAAACAACAATGATTTTCTTCCAAAATGATCCACTTTTCAGGTACACCGACTTCTTATAAGAGACCCCACAGTCTAGTGTGCAGCAGGATGGCAGACCTCAGCTACAGACTCATCTACTAGGATAAGATGGCCCCTTGGAACGCACCGCTCGGTGTGCGCTCCACTCACCGGAAATGACGTCAGGCGACGGACCAGGCAACCGGAAGTGCGTCATAGTGGTGATAAGACAGTCTATTAAGTTAACATGGGCTGCAAACATACAACAACTGACCAATTAACAGATTTTTTTTGGTGGTTCCAAGATTTATGTTGTGGTGCCCAAAATACAGGAACATTGTGGTACGCTAGAGATGTGCATTGGTGTGCTATTCAAAAGAAATGGCACCACAAGGCAATGCATGGGACCGTGGTTAGTTTGTTTCCATGCATTGCAGTGTTGCACAGTTAAATACTGTAAATGTGTTTCTGAAACACAAATACTGTCTGTGAATCTGGACTGAATGTAAGGAAAAAAATAGAAGTGTAAGTGAGGACTGTGAAGTGTGGGACATCATTCCATACTATTTATGTATGACCACTCCCCTTCTCTACATCACCGTGATACTTCCCCCCACCTTAATTTTTAGGGCCTTTTTCCTATTCTACACACTATGTACAATTTCTGTATGTTGAAACTATACTTAATGGCACTTTCACACTGTTGTGTGTGTTTTTCCCACAACGCGAGTGCAAGACCCATGGGTTTTGCATGGGTTACCTGCACTTTGCCATAGACTTCAATTGCATCAGGCAGTTTTGGTGCATTTTGTGGTGTATTTTCAGAAAGCACACCAAAAGTCCTACTAAATGAAGATGTGCCAGTGATGCCTGTGGTGGTTCCCAGGGTGGTGGTCTCTATGATTTCATTATTTCTGGGGTCAGAGTTGTCATTCCCTGGCTACTCTAGCTCAGGATGCAGCTACTCATGCACGATCTGTGCTTGATTAGCTGCATTGGAGGGCAGGGGGACATTGGGGGTTTAATAGACCCCTGATATATCTGTAAAGAGAACCTTTCACCCGCCCATGCTATCACATAGAGATTTTTTGATAGCAATAAAGTTAAATAAAGAGAAAAACAATAAATAGTGTAAAAAAGTTTAATAAAATAAATGAAAATAATAAAATAAAATGTAAACGCATCCCCATTACCCCCTTACAATCCCCAATGTCTATGCACAGTGTAGGGCAGGCATGTGCATGTAAGCATAAATTGTCAGATATCACCGCAAAGGCCAAATTGAGAGCAATAATTCTAGGGACAACATTCATAGTGAACTCCAAACTAATGACTTTTAAAGGCTTTTAAAGCTTTATGAAGAATTTTAGATACCAAATTTTTTTTTTTCAATTTCACAAGTGCACACAATTTTCTGGTTTGACGTATTTGGCATATTCTTACTCAATGGAACCCCACATTTGACATTTTCCAAACAAAATAGATATAGTATTGTGTTTGTTTGCACTAAAATTTTTTTTTTTTCATTAGAAGATGACTTTCATTAATATTTGTGCAAATATTGTGTGACATAGAACAATGCAACTGACACTTTCAGAAAATATATAAATGTTTTCAGTTTTAAGTAACTTCTAGTAAAAAATACAGTTTACCATTTGTGCAAAAAAATTGAAAAGATTACCCTGGTAGACAAGTGGTTAACTCTAGACAGGCTGGAAGTGTCTAACACAACCAGTGTGGTCAGCACTACATAAGGATTGATGAGATTGTGATGTAATGTTAATACTATTATAAATGTAGGTTAACTAGTTGCCGACCGCAGATAGCCGAATGACGGCTGCACTGCGGCCGGCCAGTTCTGATTGGACGTCATATGACGTCCTCCCAGATCGCGCTCTCCTGCGCGCCCCAGGGGGCGCGCACCCGGCGATCTCCGTGATCGCTGTGTCCTACGGACACAGCTGATCACGTGATGTGGTAAAAGGCCAATCACAGCGGCCTTTTACCACGTGATCAGCGGTGTCCAATGACACGCTGATCAGGGGGAAATGCAAGTGTCGGTTCTCGGCTGCACTTTCCTCACGCTGTCAGATCGTGAGGAAAGTACTGCCGAGAACCGGCAGTTGTCAGAGCGAGGATCGGCACCGATCATCAGGCCACTGATGATCAGTGCCTTGATGATCGGTGCCCAGCAGTGCCACCAACAAGTTCCGCCCACCTGTGCCCAGCAGTGCGCCCACTAGCTCCGCCCCCACCTGTGCCCAGCAGATCACCCACCTGTGCCCAGCAGTGCACCCACCTGTGCCCAGCAGTGCACCCACCTGTGCCACTCTGCAGTGTCACACACCTGTGCCCAGAAGTGCCACCTACCTGTGCCCAGCAGTGCCACCCACCAGTGCCCACCCACCTGTGCCCACCAGTGCCACCCACCTGTGCCCACCAGTGCCACCCACCTGTGCCCACCCACCAGTGCTGCCCACCAGTGCCGCCCACCAGTGCAGCCCAGCAGTGCTGCCAGTCAGTGCCACCAGTCAGTGCCCAGCGGTTGTGCCAGTCAGTGCCACCAGTCAGTGCCCAGCAGTGATGCCAGTCAGTGCCGTCTATCAGTACCCATCATCAGTGTCACCTATCAGTGCCGCCTATCAGTGCTGCATATTAGTGCTGCCTATCCGTGACACCTCATTAGTGCTGCCTATCAGTGCCGCCTATCCGTGCCACCTCATTAGTACTGCCTATCAGTGCCCTTTAGTGCTGCCTATCAGTGCCCATCAGTGCCGCCTATCAGTGCCCATCAGTGCTGCCTCATCAACGCACATCAGTGAAGGAGAAAAATTACCTGTTTGAAAAATTTTATAATAGAAACAAAGAAACTTTTTTTTTTTTTTTTCAAATTTTTTGCACTTTTTTTATTTATAGCGCAAAAAGTAAAGTGCTCAGCGGCGATTAAATACCACCAAAAGAAAGCTCTATTTGTGAGAAAAAAATGATCAAAATTTCATATGGGTACAATGTTGCATGACCGCGCAATTGTCAATCAAAGTGTGGCAGCGCTGAAAGCTGAAAATTGGCCTGGTAAATAAGGGGGTATAAGTGCCTGGTAGGCAAGTGGTTAATGGTTAGAATTAGGTCCCTGAGCCCACAGTAATATTTTAGTTTGCAGTTTATACTATATGATTGGTACATTTTAATAAAATCTTATAACAGTGGCTCCTTTCAATATTTTATTTAAAAAATAATTTCAAACCCTTTCAGCAAAGAAAATCTGTTGAATTTGAACCTTAGAACACAAGATAGTCTCTATTCCACTGTCTTTATTCTTCCTGGAAGAAGCTGGATCCTTGAATATTTCAAGTTGGCAAAAGTTCCTGGATTGACAAACATTCCTCTTCCAGAGTATTGCTTTACCGTAAAATGTTCCCTTTTTATTTTAATGGGTAGACTATGAGAGTAATTTGATGTGCTTTGAAACAGGCAATCAAACCACAACACAATCCGGGAGCAATTGTAGTTTTGGAGCATATTTAATAACCCCCAGAGGGTCCTGAGATATTTTTATGATTTACAGATAACAATAAAACAAAGAAGGAAACCCGAACAGTCTCTAACAGATTAGCAGTCACAACAAATTAAACATGATATGAGTGAAGTCAGGAAAAATCACTCAATTAGCTCATTTTTTCAATACACTTTTTTTTTGTTAAGGGGCTATTAAACTTAACACGCCAATTTCATCAAAGTTAAAGGAGAAGTATGGCCAAAGCTCTTTTGGCCATACTTTTCTTAAGGGTCATAGAAGTGCACTTAGCTCTGCACTCCTGTGACCCAGATTCAGCTGACAGCAGGCTAAAGCCTTCTCCTGCTTGATGTCACAGAGCCAGTCCAGGCTCTATAGGGATCCCAACAATAATGTCAGGATCCACCCAGATGCCCAACCTGCAGTTGGCTCAGCCTCTCCATGCTCCATCATGTTTATCAGCCCCTCTCTTTCCTGAAAGAACACAGTGAGCGATTATTACCGATCGCTCCTCTGCTCATTCTTCACTGAAGCATAGTAGACTGTTGTTTACTGTTTCAGTTTGTGAATGAACAGAAGCTCTGTATAGAGTGCCTCCTGGTCATTCATTCAGGTTGCAGAGAAACGATTAGGGATATTTGTCCCTTTCTCTGTCTCAGAAGTGAGACATAAGGGGTCTGAGTAGACCCCTGATATTTCACCAAGGGCCCCTAACAGGGATAAAAATGTAAAATAAATAAATTAAATTGGACAAAAGAAAATGTAAGGGCTTGTTCACACATGCTTTTATCTATGAAGTGCAATCCGCATTCAAGAGAGCATTTAATTGTTGGTAAGGAGGGGATACAATACAGTTGCAGGGCAACACCATTCACTTGAACTGGTTGCGTCCAACAGGGAGTCTCATTCCTGCTGTGGTCACGATATATGTGTGTCCCCAGCTGATGCAGAAAAAAGGGGGGTAGCAGTTGGGGGGGGTAGAAGCAAAGCTCAGCTATGGGATTTTACCACTCCCCAAGCTCACATGTGAATAAGCCCTAGAAGCCGATTTCCACAAGTACTCTGGTCATGTGTATGAGTGCTTTGTTTATGCGGCTGGATCCACCTGTTACTTTATTGGGACACAGTGGCTGTATGAACACAGCCACAGGTCCCGATTTGACAGGTGTGCAGGTGTGGGTGAGTGGCCTCAAATACACACTATGCTTGGATATCATACACCTGTACCCAAATGCCTGTCAAAATTGGACTGCGGCGGTGTTCATACAGCTGCTGATTTCCCATAGAGTAACATAGGCTGCCTACACACAACTCCAATCACATAAATAAACCATGATTCACATTGTACAGGGCACAGAGCCCACGTGAATGAGCTCAAAATCCTCATTCACACACAGAGCTTTATTTATTAATTCAATACAGTTTTATCGTTTAGATTTAGCAGAAGTTTTGTAAGTTATGTTGTGTTTGTGTCCACTAATAATTATTTTAGTGTATTTTTAGCAAAAATGTTGTTTTGATATTTTCAGGGGGGAAACAGAGGGGGGCCCCGTGACGTAGGCTTTTCGGGGCCCCATGATTTCTAACAGAATCCCTGTGCCTAGGTGTCATTACAATTGTATATTTACTATCCATGTAATTTCAAATTTTAATGTTTTTATTGCTGTTGGTTTTGAGGACCATATTGCTATAATTTATTCCCCTGCAGACATGTCACTATAAAACCACACTTAGGGGTTGATTTACTAAAGGCAAATAAACTGTGCACTTTGCAAAGTGTAGTTGCACTCTGCAAGAGCAGTTGTTCCTGAACTTAGTAAATGAGGTATAGCTCCAGTTTCCAAAGAATACTCAATCACATGCAAGGACAATTAAAAAAAACAGCATTTTTGCTTGCACATGATTGGATGACGGAAGTCAGCAGAGCTTCTGCTCATTTACTAAGCTCTGGAGCAACTGCCCTTGTAGAATGCATCTACAATTTGCAAAGTGCACAGTCTCTTTTGCCTTTACTAAATCAACCGCTTAGTCTCCAGTTCACTGCACAGTACTAATCCAGTATTATTACACAGTTACACCAAGGAAAACCAAGGAAATCTGTTGGAAAGCTTTGTTTATGTATTTTGTGCAACAACTACATTTACCAGTGTTTATACGTTTGTAGCTGCATCTACTGTATGGTTAAACGCTATGTCTTTTCTCTGTTTCTGTTTTCTGTTAGCAGAGATGCAGCAGATAAACACATGTGGACTGTATCTGTTCTGTAGGGCTATATACAGAATCTCTAACAGGTTAAGGGTCCAGACACCAAGGCATAGCTGACTACAGCAAAATATGTGCAAGATACAGCAACAGAAAGAAGACTGCAACATAATAAAAGAAAATGGCCAGTAACACAGATGCAACAAAGCTGTCATTTGCAAATCTGACTAACAAGAACTACCAGTCTTGGAAATTCAAGATGAAAATGCTGCTAATAAGAGAGGGTACGTGGAAATGTAATCATGACATCAGGCCAGAACATCCTTCAGATGAGTGGATAGAGAAAGACCAAAAAGCTTACAGCACAATCTTTCTAAGCATAGAAGATGATCAAATCATACATATATGTAAGTGTGAAACTGCTAAAGAAATATGGGAAGGATTACAAAAAGTGTATGAAAGAGCTAATCTCAGCAATAAACTGTATTGGATTAGAAAGCTATACCAAACGAAGCTGATAAAAGGGTAAGATATGCAGGATTATACAAGGCACACCCTCGAAAAGGTTGAAAGCCTGAGAGGTATAGGAGTAGAAAGAAAAGATTTTCATGTCACTGCACTATTATTTTGTGATTTACCAGAAAGTTATGAAACTCTTGTCACAGCACTTGATGCACGTCCAGATGATAAACTGACATTGGACTATGTTAAGGGCAAGCTTATGGATGAATATAAGCATAAAACAGAAAGCATTAATAGAGATAGTGCGGTATGAACAGGAGCCAGGCGCTGTGTAGTTTTGTGATAAAAATAATACACCTTGTATGGAGGTGTGCCTTTAATAAGTCATATGGTAAAAAAATAATAAATAACCAGCCTGTGGCTTTAGGAAGCCAGGTTCCAAGATGGACGGCCCGTCCGCTCAGAGGGAAGCAGTGGAGTAGAATGCCTGTCAGTGCAGGGACCACGTGTACCGGACGTCCCAGCGTCCTGGATGACGTCACCACGATGTGGAGAGACGGAGGGGGGGAACTCTTGCTGGAGCCGCAGCTTTAGAAGGAAGAGACTTGACAAAGCACATGCGCGCAAAACATGTTGTCCCAGCAACCGGCCTCTTCCTTCTAAAGCTGCGGCTCCAGCAAGAGTTCCCCCCCTCCGTCTCTCCACATCGTGGTAACGTCATCCAGGACGCTGGGACGTCGGGTACACGTGGTCCCTGCACTGACAGGCATTCTACTCCACTGCTTCCCTCTGAGCGGACGGGCCGTCCATCTTGGAACCTGGCTTCCTAAAGCCACAGGCTGGTTATTTATTATTTTTTTTTACCATATGACTTATTAAAGGCACACCTCCATACAAGGTGTATTATTTTTATCACAAAACTACACAGCGCCTGGCTCCTGTTCATACCTCCCACAAACCGATGTGTTTTTACCATGGCAGCAGTGAGTTTTTTCCCCACCAATCATAGTTGACATATACCATTCACTTACTTCCTTTGGGACACATCTGTGCGCTTTTATCCAGACCGTTCTAATAGAGATAGTGCCACTATTGCAGAGTCTGCTTTAAAGATGAAAAATAGGGGAAAAAAAAACAGGAACATGCAACAAGAAACACATGAATGTTTTGTGTGCAAAAAACAAGGACATTTAAAGACAAGTTGCAGAATCTGGAATGATAGAATACAAAAACAAACTAAACTACAAAAGGCCTAAAGTGTGAAGGAAGAAAATGATTTTTCTTCAGATAATGAATATGTTTTTTAATCCAAAGTTGCATCTCATCTTTGCAGGCATGGTGTCTTGATTCAAGAGCTAAAAGTCACATGAAACATGACAGAAATATCTTTTTTTACCTTGACCAGAGTAAAACAGAAAAAAATCACCACAGCTAATGGGCAAATAATGGAATCAGAAGGAATAGGAGACGGTTTTCTTTACTGTCCTATTTCCTAGAGTGTCACCAGAAAGATATCTGTAAAAAATGACCTGCTCTACGTCTCTGCTCTAACTTTTCTCTGTGAAGAAGCTCACAAAACAAGGCAATGTAGTGACCTTTCAAGATGACAGTTGTGCTATCACAAAAGGGGACATCTCACTTTCAAAGGATAAAATTACAGATGAACTGTATGAGCTGAACTGCAATGAGGTGGTTAACACTGCCAAGGAGGAAAAAAATATTCAAACTGCAAATTGCATTCACACATGGCACAGAAGACTTGGTCACAGAAGTCCTGCAATTATAAAAATAAATTAGCTGTGAATGACTGTGCAAGTGGAATAAAAATTCCATGTGATCAACAATGAAATGCACCAGCTGTATAAAAGGAAAACAACAAAAATAGCCTTTCCAAAGCAGAGTAACAGCAGAACTTAAAAACTTCTAGACTTCAGTCATATCTTTGCAGTCTAAGAGGGATTTTTTTTTTCACTTTTATAGATGATTACGCCAGGTTTACTACACTATATCTGTTACACAACAAAAGTGAAGTACCAGAGAAACTTGAACAGTATTTGCCTCAAGTAAGCAACAAATTGGCAAAATGCTGAGTGTATTGCGCACAATAGAATGGAACATACTGGTGATAACACACATTTGATTCTCAGAAAGCATGGCATAATATTTCAAGCTACTGTACCGTACAACCCAGAACAAAACAGGGTTGCGAAAAAAATGAACCGTACTCTATGTGAGAGTAGAAGAACAATGCTGTTTGATGCAGATATGCCAACCACATACTGCAGGGGAGGACAATTATGACCACATGCTATCTCCAAAACGGACTACCAGGAAAATCAACTGAGAAAACTCCATATGAACTGTGGAATGGAAAAGCCCCAAGTTTTAACCATCTAAAAATTTTGGACACAAAACCTATCTGCACATCCCAAAAGAAAAATGTACAAATGGGAAGGTGTATTTATGGGGTACAGTGAATCTCAAAAAGGATACAGAATTCTACACCAAGACACAAACAAGTAACCATCAGCAGAAGTGTAATTGTCAATGAAACTTCAGTGTGTTCATAATTTCATGAACTAACACAAATGCTTCAAACTGAGAGAAATTTCACATCAATGTCTCATGCAGATAAGCAACAAAGTAACACAGAAATAGAAATTAACACAGACAATTCAAATTTTGTAAAAAGAAAAAACCAGGCCACAAGAGGCTTTAATCAGGAAATCCACCAAAAGTAATAAAGGCATCCCAGCCAAACATATGACCTACAGTCAGGTCCATAAATATTGGGACATCGACACAATTCTAACATTTTTGGCTCTATACACCACCACAATATAATTTGAAATGAAACAAACAAGATGTACTTTAACTGCAGACTGTCAGCTTTAATTTGAGGGTATTTACATCCAAATCAGGTGATCGGTGTAGGAATTACAACAGTTTGCATATCTGCCCCCCACTTGTTAAGGAACCAGAAGTAACGGGACAATTGGCTTCTCAGCTGTTCCGTGGACAGGTGTGTGTTATTCCCTCATTATCCCAATTACAATGAGCAGATAAAAGGCCCAGAGTTAATTTCAAGTGTGCTATTTGCATTTGGAATCTGTTGCTGTCAACTCTCAAGATGAGATCCAACGAGCTGTCACTATCAGTGAAGCAAGCCATCATTAGGCTAAAAAAAACAAAACAAACCCATCAGAGAGATAGCAAAAACATTAGGCGTGGCCAAAACAACTGTTTGGAACATTCTTAAAAAGAAGGAATGCACCAGTGAGCACAGCAACACCAAAAGACCCGGAAGACCACGGAAAACAACTGTGGTGGATGACTGAAGAATTCTTTCCCTGGTGAAGAGAACACCCTTCACAACAGTTGGCCAGATCAAGAACACTCTCCAGGAGGTAGGTGTATGTGTGTCAAAGTCAATAATCAAGAGAAGACTTCACCAGAGTGAATACAGAGGGTTCACCACAAGATGTAAACCATTGGTGAGCCTCAAAAACAGGAAAGCCAGATTAGAGTTTGCCAAACGACATCTAAAAAAGCCTTCACAGTTCTGGAACAACATCCTATGGACAGATGAGACCAAGATCAACTTGTACCAGAGTGATGGGAAGAGAAGAGTATGGAGAAGGAAAGGAACTGCTCATGATCCTAAGCATACCACCTCATCAGTGAATCATGGTGGTGGTAGTGTCATGGCGTGGGCATGTATGGCTGCCAATGGAACTGGTTCTCTTGTATTTATTGATGATGTGACTGTTGACAAAAGCAGCAGGATGAATTCTGAGGTGTTTCGGGCAATATTATCTGCTCATATTTAGCCAAATGCTTCAGAACTCATTGGACGCCGCATCACAGTGCAGATGGACAATGACCCAAAGCATACTGCAAAAGCAACCAAAGAGTTTTTTAAGTGATGGAAGTGGAATGTTATGCAATGGCCAAGTCAATCACCTGACCTGAATCCGATTGAGCATGCATTTCACTTGCTGAAGACAAAACTGAAGGGAAAATGCCCCAAGAACAAGCAGGAACTGAAGAGAGTGGCAGAGCATCACCAGGGATGAAACCCAGCGTCTGGTGATGTCTATGCGTTCCAGACTTCAGGCTGTAATTGACTGCAAAGGATTTCCAACCAAGTATTAAAAAGTGAAAGTTTGATTTATGATTATTATTCTGTCCCATTACTTTTGGTCCTTTAACAAGCGGGAGGCACATATGCAAACTGTTGTAATTCCTACACCGTTCACCTGCTTTAGATGTAAATACCCTCAAATTAAAGCTGACAGTCTGCAGTTAAAGCACATCTTGTTTTGTTTCATTTCAAATCCATTGTGGTGGTGTATAAAGCCAAAAATGTTAGAATTGTGTCGATGTCCCAATATTTATGGACCTGACTGTATGTTGCTTGTGTACCAATAAACCAGAGCCATATTCATGGGATGAAATGCAAAGGCTTCCAACTAATGGGAAACAAAAGTCCATCAAAGCTGCTGATGAAGAGATGGCATCTATTTGTGAACTGCAGGCATGGACACTTTCAGAGCTACAGATTTATAGAACTGCCACCTGAGGTGGGGACTAATATAAGGAGTAGTTGTTGAGTGGGGGTGCTGGAAAACATTGTTCATGTAACAGCTACATCAACTAGTAGACGGCAGGCTCTATAAGTGTGTAGCTGCATCTATGGATCAACTCTATGTCTCTCCTGTATAATAAACATTCCTGTTTCCTGTTAGCAGAGAAGAAGCAGATAAACACACGTGCACTGTCTGCTCAGTAGGGCTATATACAGAATCTATAAAAAAAAACCCACCAATAAAGCAGTGACAACTAATAAATGGGGGGGGGGCTGCCTGATTGGATACCAATTGAATGTGGTATAGGTTTGACCTCATATTATATGTTTTTTTTTTTTAAATTGTACAAGAATATTGTATAATGTGTAGACACCTTAAGAAAAAATTCCCTGCCCTATTCTCCACATTTAAAACTTGTTTTTCTGGTAGATAAGACTGAATATTATTTAGTAGTAGACACTGTTTGGAAACCGTTGAAAAGAGCGGCTTTGTGGAACTGGTCACCACAACTGGAAAATGGGGTGGGGGGAGACCGTGGGACTCTAGATTAAGGTAAGTTTTTTTCTCTTTGATAAATCATCCGTAGACAAAAAATATTCTTCACTTGCTGGAAGTGGGGGGGGGGGGGGGTGCAATTTAATTTTGTAGATCAACCCAGAGTTGGGATTTAATTAGAGCACCAATCACGACCCCTTAGAGAGATATGTACAATAACATTCCCTCTTTTAACCATAACCATTTCTTGATTTAGGGCTGAATGCCTCTCCTATACACATGCCATGCTTCCAGCATTTAAGGCTCCCTTACACTATACTATAGCTCAAGGTAATTTGTCTTATGCAAATAAGACAATTTTATTTGAAGTAGTTTTAAAGTATAAATGTTTATTACCTTAATGCTTTCTCTGCATAAGGTAAAACATACAGTGTATATGGTGCTACCAAAGCACCTGTGCAATTTGGATTTTTTTTAAGAATTAATATGTACTTTGCTTTCTTTGGTAGTCGTAACTGATTAGAGCAACTCTGAATCATTTTTCTGAGCTAGAGCAGCTTTGGAGCTGGATCTGGGACCTGGGATTGTTGGAGAAGTTGTGGAGCTGACATTAAGGTTTTGGGAGATGCCTGAAGGTGTAAGATATGCATATATCTTCTGTTTAAAAAGCTTTCACTGCTCTTTGCAGTGGTTCAATTGAGATTTTTCAGCTTACTATAACCCAGGGGAAAAAATTCCTAGGGTCGGTGCTCAGGAGTAAAAAGTGCC